ATCTGCAACCTCCGGCACGACCTCAGCCCCCTTCGCCTCCTCCACCACAGGGGCAGCGGCCTCCTCAGCCACGGCCTCCTCTTCCATCGCCACTGCGGGGGCCTCTTCGACCACAGCCTCCTCGGCCTTGGGGGCCTCCACCTCCGCCACGGGTGCGGGGGCGGCGTCCTCCTCAACCTCGGCACTTGCGGCAGCCACCTCCGCCTCAGCCACGGCTTCTGGTACCGCTTCTGGTACAGCCTCTGGTACCACCTCCTCGCTCGCCACCGGCAGCTCCACCTCGCGCGACTCCACCTCAGGGGCCACCTCGGGGACGGCCTCGGCCTCCTCCACTTCCTCAGCGACGGCTGCCTCGGGCGCAGCCGCCTCCGCCACTGGGGCCTCTGGCTCTGCAACCTCCGGCACGACCTCGGCATCCTTCGCCTCCTCTAACACAGTCAGCGACAGCCTCCTCGTCCACCGCCACTGCGGGGGCCTCTTCGACCACAGCCTCCTCGGTCTTGGGGGCCTCCACCTCCGCCACGGGTGCGGGGGCGGACTCCTCCTCAATCTCGGTACTTGCGGCAGCCACCTCCGCCTCAGCCACTGTTTCTGGTACCGCGTCTGGTACATCCTCTGGTACCACCTCCTCGCTCGCCACCGGCAGCTCCACCTTGCGCGACTCCACCTCAGGGGCCACCTCGGGGGTGGTTTTTTTTTCCCACACCGCCTCAGCGACGGCCGCCTCGGGTGTATTCCCCTCCGCCACTGGGGCCTCTGGCTCTTCAACCTCTGCACGACCTCGGCCTCCTTCGCCTCCTCCAACACAGTGGCAGCAGCCTCCTCTTCCACCGCCACTGCGGGGGGCTCTTCGACCACAGCCTCCTCGGCATGAGGGCCTCCACCTCCGCCACGGGTGCGGGGGCGACCTCCTCCTCAACCTCGGCACTTGCGGCAGCCACCTCCGCCTCAGCCACGGCTTCTTGTACCGCTTCTGGTACAGCCTCTGGTACCACCTCCTCGCTCGCCACCGGCAGCTCCACCTCGCGCGACTCCACCTCAGGGGCCACCTCGGGGACGGCCTCGGCCTCCTCCACCTCCTCAGCGACGGCTGCCTCGGGCGCAGCCGCCTCCGCCACTGGGGCCTCTGGCTCTGCAACCTCCGGCACGACCTCGGCCTCTTTCGCCTCCTCCACCACAGGGGCACCGGCCTCCTCAGCCACGGCCTCCTCTTCCACCGCCACTGCGGGGGCCTCTTCGACCACAGCCTCCTCGGCCTTGGGGGCCTCCAACACCGCCACGGGTGCGGGGGCGGCCTCCTGCTCAACCTCGGCACTTGCGGCAGCCACCTCCGCCTCAGCCACGGTTTCTGGTACCGCTTCTGGTACAGCCTCTGGTACCACCTCCTCGCTCGCCACCGGCAGCTCCACCTCGCGCGACTCCACCTCTGGGTTCACGTCGGGGGTGGCCTCGGCCTCCTTCACCTCCTCAGCGACGGCTGCCTCGGGCGCAGCCGCCTCCGCCACTGGGGCCTCTGGCTCTGCAACCTCCGGCACGACCTCGGCCTCCTTCGCCTCCTCCACCACAGGGGCAGCGGCCTCCTCAGCCACGGCCTCCTCTTCCGCCGCCACTGCGGGGGCCTCTTCGACCACAGCCTCCTCGGCCTTGGGGGCCTCCACCTCCGCCACGGGTGCGGGGGCGGCCTCCTCCTCAACCTCGGCACTTGCGGCAGCCACCTCCGCGTCAGCCACGGTTTCTGGTACCGCTTCTGGTACAGCCTCTGGTACCACCTCCTCGCTCGCCACAGGCAGCTCCACCTCGCGCGACTCCACCTCAGGGGCCACCTCGGGGGCGGCCTCGGCCTCCTTCACCTCCTCAGCGACGGCTGCCTCGGGCGCAGCCGCCTCCGCCACTGGGGCCTCTGGCTCTGCAACCTCCGGCACGACCTCGGCCTCCTTCGCCTCCTCCAACACAGTGGCAGCAGCCTCCTCTTCCACCGCCACTGCGGGGGCCTCTTCGACCACAGCCTCCTCGGCCTTGGGGGCCTCCACCTCCGCCACGGGTGCGGGGGCGGCCTCCTCCTCAACCTCGGCACTTGCGGCAGCCACCTCCGCCTCAGCCACGGCTTCTGGTACCGCTTCTGGTACAGCCTCTGGTACCACCTCCTCGCTCGCCACCGGCAGCTCCACCTCGCGCGACTCCACCGCAGGGGCCACCTCGGGGACGGCCTCGGCCTCCTCCACCTCCTCAGCGACGGCTGCCTCGGGCGCAGCCGCCTCCGCCACTGGGGCGTCTGGCTCTGCAACCTCCGGCACGACCTCGGCCTCCTTCGCCTCCTCAACCACAGTGGCAGCAGCCTCCACTTCCACCGCCACTGCGGGGGCCTCTTCGACAACAGCCTCCTCGGCCTTGGGGGCCTCCACCTCCGCCACGGGTGCGGGGGCGGCCTCCTCCTCAACCTCGGCACTTGCGGCAGCCACCTCCGCCTCAGCCACGGCTTCTGGTACCGCTTCTGGTACAGCCTCTGGTACCACATCCTCGCTCGCCACCGGCAGCTCCACCTCGCGAGACTCCACCTCAGGGGCCACCTCGGGGACGGCCTCGGCCTCCTCCACCTCCTCAGCGACGGCTGCTTCGGGCGCAGCCGCCTCCGCCACTGGGGCCTCTAGATCTGCAACCTCCGGCACGACCTCAGCCCCCTTCGCCTCCTCCACCACAGGGGCAGCGGCCTCCTCAGCCACGGCCTCCTCTTCCATCGCCACTGCGGGGGCCTCTTCGACCACAGCCTCCTCGGCCTTGGGGGACTCCACCTCCGCCACGGGTGCGAGGGCGGCCTCCTCCTCAACCTCGGCACTTGCGGCAGCCACCTCCGCCTCAGCCACGGTTTCTGGTACCGCTTCTGGTACAGCCTCTGGTACCACCTCCTCGCTCGCCACCGGCAGCTCCACCTCGCGCGACTCCACCTCAGGGGCCACCTCGGGGGCGGCCTCGCCCTCGTTCACCTCCTCAGCGACGGCTGCCTCGGGCGCAGCCGCCTCCGCCACTGGGGCCTCTCGCTCTGCAACCTCCGGCACGGCCTCGGCCTCCTCCACCTCCTCAGCGACGGCTGCCTCGGGCGCAGCCGCCTCCGCCACTGGGGCCTCTGGCTCTGCAACCTCCGGCACGACCTCGGCCTCCTTCGCCTCCTCCACCACAGGGGCAGCGGCCTCCTCAGCCACGGCCTCCTCTTCCACCGCCACTGCGGGGGCCTCTTCGACCACAGCCTCCTCGGCCTTGGGGGCCTCCACCTCCGCCACGGGTGCGGGGGCGGCCTCCTCCTCAACCTCGGCACTTGCGGCAGCTACCTCCGCCTCAGCCACGGCTTCTGGTACAGCCTCTGGTACCACCTCCTCGCTAGCCATTGGCAGCTCCACCTCGCGCGACTCCACCTCAGGGGCCACCTCGGGGGCGGCCTCGGCCTCCTTCACCTCCTCAGCGACGGCTGCCTCGGGCGCAGCCGCCTCCGCCACTGGGGCCTCTGGCACTGCAACCTCCGGCACGACCTCGGCCTCCTTCGCCTCCTCAACCACAGTGGCAGCAGCCTCCTCTTCCACCGCCACTGCGGGGGCCTCTTCGACCACAGCCTCCTCGGCCTTGGGGGCCTCCACCTCCGCCACGGGTGCGGGGGCGGCGTCCTCCTCAACCTCGGCACTTGCGGCAGCCACCTCCGCCTCAGCCACGGCTTCTGGTACCGCTTCTGGTACAGCATCTGGTACCACCTCCTCGCTCGCCACCGGCAGCTCCACCTCGCGCGACTCCACCTCAGGGGCCACCTCGGGGACGGCCTCGGCCTCCTCCACTTCCTCAGCGACGGCTGCCTCGGGCGCAGCCGCCTCCGCCACTGGGGCCTCTGGCTCTGCAACCTCGGCACGACCTCGGCCTCCTTCGCCTCCTCCACCACAGTGGCAGCAGCCTCCACTTCCACCGCCACTGCGGGGGCCTCTTCGACAACAGCCTCCTCGGCCTTGGGGGCCTCCACCTCCGCCACGGGTGCGGGGGCGGCCTCCTCCTCAACCTCGGCACTTGCGGCAGCCACCTCCGCCTCAGCCACGGCTTCTGGTACCGCTTCTGGTACAGCCTCTGGTACCACATCCTCGCTCGCCACCGGCAGCTCCACCTCGCGAGACTCCACCTCAGGGGCCACCTCGGGGACGGCCTCGGCCTCCTCCACCTCCTCAGCGACGGCTGCCTCGGGCGCAGCCGCCTCCGCCACTGGGGCCTCTAGATCTGCAACCTCCGGCACGACCTCAGCCCCCTTCGCCTCCTCCACCACAGGGGCAGCGGCCTCCTCAGCCACGGCCTCCTCTTCCATCGCCACTGCGGGGGCCTCTTCGACCACAGCCTCCTCGGCCTTGGGGGCCTCCACCTCCGCCACGGGTGCGGGGGCGGCGTCCTCCTCAACCTCGGCACTTGCGGCAGCCACCTCCGCCTCAGCCACGGCTTCTGGTACCGCTTCTGGTACAGCCTCTGGTACCACCTCCTCGCTCGCCACCGGCAGCTCCACCTCGCGCGACTCCACCTCAAGGGCCACCTCGGGGACGGCCTCGGCCTCCTCCACTTCCTCAGCGACGGCTGCCTCGGGCGCAGCCGCCTCCGCCACTGGGGCCTCTGGCACTGCAACCTCCGGCACGACCTCGGCCTCCTTCGCCTCCTCAACCACAGTGGCAGCAGCCTCCTCTTCCACCGCCACTGCGGGGGCCTCTTCGACCACAGCCTCCTCGGCCTTGGGGGCCTCCACCTCCGCCACGGGTGCGGGGGCGGCGTCCTCCTCAACCTCGGCACTTGCGGCAGCCACCTCCGCCTCAGCCACGGCTTCTGGTACCGCTTCTGGTACAGCATCTGGTACCACCTCCTCGCTCGCCACCGGCAGCTCCACCTCGCGCGACTCCACCTCAGGGGCCACCTCGGGGACGGCCTCGGCCTCCTCCACTTCCTCAGCGACGGCTGCCTCGGGCGCAGCCGCCTCCGCCACTGGGGCCTCTGGCTCTGCAACCTCCGGCACGACCTCGGCCTCCTTCGCCACCTCAACCACAGTGGCAGCAGCCTCCTCTTCCACCGCCACTGCGGGGGCCTCTTCGACCACAGCCTCCTCGGCCTTGGGGGCCTCCACCTCCGCCACGGATGCGGGGGAGGCGTCCTCCTCAACCTCGGCACTTGCGGCAGCCACCTCCGCCTCAGAAACGGCTTCTGGTACGGCTGCTGGTACAGCCTCTGGTACCACCTCCTCGCTAGCCACCGGCAGCTCCACCTCGCGCGACTCCACCTCAGGGGCCACCTCGGGGGCGGCCTCGGCCTCCTTCACCTCCTCAGCGACGGCTGCCTCGGGCGCAGCCGCCTCCGCCACTGGGGCCTCTGGCTCTGCAACCTCCGGCACGACCTCGGCCTCCTTCGCCTCCTCCACCACAGTGGCAGCAGCCTCCACTTCCACCGCCACTGCGGGGGCCTCTTCGACAACAGCCTCCTCGGCCTTGGGGGCCTCCACCTCCGCCACGGGTGCGGGGGCGGCCTCCTCCTCAACCTCGGCACTTGCGGCAGCCACCTCCGCCTCAGCCACGGCTTCTGGTACCGCTTCTGGTACAGCCTCTGGTACCACATCCTCGCTCGCCACCGGCAGCTCCACCTCGCGAGACTCCACCTCAGGGGCCACCTCGGGGACGGCCTCGGCCTCCTCCACCTCCTCAGCGACGGCTGCCTCGGGCGCAGCCGCCTCCGCCACTGGGGCCTCTAGATCTGCAACCTCCGGCACGACCTCAGCCCCCTTCGCCTCCTCCACCACAGGGGCAGCGGCCTCCTCAGCCACGGCCTCCTCTTCCATCGCCACTGCGGGGGCCTCTTCGACCACAGCCTCCTCGGCCTTGGGGGCCTCCACCTCCGCCACGGGTGCGGGGGCGGCGTCCTCCTCAACCTCGGCACTTGCGGCAGCCACCTCCGCCTCAGCCACGGCTTCTGGTACCGCTTCTGGTACAGCCTCTGGTACCACCTCCTCGCTCGCCACCGGCAGCTCCACCTCGCGCGACTCCACCTCAGGGGCCACCTCGGGGACGGCCTCGGCCTCCTCCACTTCCTCAGCGACGGCTGCCTCGGGCGCAGCCGCCTCCGCCACTGGGGCCTCTGGCTCTGCAACCTCCGGCACGACCTCGGCCTCCTTCGCCTCCTCAACCACAGTGGCAGCAGCCTCCTCTTCCACCGCCACTGCGGGGGCCTCTTCGACCACAGCCTCCTCGGCCTTGGGGGACTCCACCTCCGCCACGGGTGCGAGGGCGGCCTCCTCCTCAACTTCGGCACTTGCGGCAGCCACCTCCGCCTCAGCCACGGCTTCTGGTACCGCTTCTGGTACAGCCTCTGGTACCACCTCCTCGCTCGCCACCGGCAGCTCCACCTCGCGCGACTCCACCTCAGGGGGCAACTCGGGGGCGGCCTCGGCCTCGTTCACCTCCTCAGCGAACGCTGCCTCGGGCGCAGCCCGCTCCGCCACTGGGGCCTCT